TTTCAAGATATTTTTCTTATTAATCCCTAAAATGATTTTGAAAAATTATGTACCTCTTCACAAAATTTCAGGTTGATATGTGGAAATGTATAAGGGTAAGTAGCTCCAGACGATATAATTGTGGCATATAAATATTGACATTAATGGCCAAAGAAAAGTAAAACAAAACCATCAGTCTTTCATATGTACCTGAAGGAATCTAAATACTGTTGAGATTGATATCTGTAATCATTCATTTAAAAAAATGAATTCTTTTTTAGCTGCTGGAAATTTCACATCATTCCACTTTCTCTTTAAAGTTTTTCTCCACATCCTTCACAGAATTTTATCCTTATAAAATATTTTTATGCCTGAAAGTCATTTCTGCATCACATCTCTGTATATGTATATGTGTGTATATATAAACTGAAATTATTTTTATTAATGGGTTTTATTTTAGGAGATTCATACGTGCACATATCATACTTTGATCATTTTCACCCTCCCATCACTCCTTTGCCCCGCTCTCCCCCTAGTTTCACATTTTTGGGGGGATTTCAATGTGTACAGTATATTTTGCTTGTATCATTCTCCCTATTACCCGCATTTACATCCCTCCCCCTTCATTATGTTCCCTTTCTCTTGTGTAATGATTTTCTCCCTTCTGCTTTCTTGTCATCCTTTGTAGATTCCACATAATAGGAGAATATCCAATATTTGTCTTTCTGAGTCAAGCTTATTTGGTTCCATCTGATGGTCTCCAGTTCATCCATGTTTTTTTCAAGTGACAGAATTTTGTTCTTGTGGCTGAATCATACTTTCGTGTATATATACCACATTTTCTTTATCCATTCATCTGTTGATGGCTATCTAGGCTGGTTCCATATCTTGGCTATCGTGATTTGTGCTGTCATAAACATGGATATGCAGGTATCCCTCATGCTGGCTTTAATTGCTTCAGTTGTGGATCAAGGAGTGATACAGCTGAATCAAATGGTACCTCTATATTTAGTTTTTTGAGGAATTTCTATACTGATTTTCATAGTGATTGTACTAATTTACATTCTCACCAGCAGTGTAGAAGGGTTCCCCTCCCTTTTTCATCCTTGCCAGCATTTATTGTTTTTTGTATACTTGGAGGTAGCCATTCTGACTGGGGCGGAATCTCAAGGTATGTAAGTTTTTTTGTTTGTTTGTTTGTTTTGTTTTGTACTGGGAATCAAACTCGGGATCAAACTCAGGATCTTGCATTTGCAAGGCAGGTGCAGTGCCATTGAGCCAAATCTCTGGCAATGTAGTTTTTGATTTGTATTTCTCTAATGACTGTAGATGCTGAACATTTTCTAATATAATTATCAGCCATTTATATTTATTTCGATAAGTGTCTGTTCAAGTTATTTGCCCATTTATCAATTGGGCTACTATTTTTTTTTATATGTTCTGGATATTAACCCTCTATTGGGAGAATAACTGGTAAAAATGTCCCCCAATTCTGTAGGCTTCACTCTGCTAGTTGTTTCCCTTGCTGTGCAGAAAGTTTTAAATTTGATATAGTCCTATTTATTGATTCTTGTTATTATTTTCTTTGCTATTAGAGTCCTAGTTAGGAAGTCTGCCTGTGTCTCTGGCTTCAAGTGCATCTCCTGTGTTTTCTTTTAGCCGTTTCAAAGTTTCAAAATTTCAGTCTTACATCTAGGTTTTTGACCCATTTATAATTAATTTCTGTATACATTTAAAATTAATTTCTGCAGGAAATACGGATATAGTTCCAGTTTCCTATAACTGGACATCTCTTTGTCCTAGCATCATTTGTTAAAGAGGCTGTCTTTTCACCAATGTATATTTTTGGCTCCTTAATCCAGATAGCCATATGTAGTTGCATGTATTCATGTCTGTATCCTCTATCCTGTACCATTGGTCTGTGTGGCTATTTTTGTGTCTGTGCCATGCTGTTTTTCTCACTGTGCCTTTGTAGTATAATTTCAAATCAGGTATTGTGATACCTCCAAGTCTTGTTCTTTTTGCTTTAGGATTTCTTTGGCTATTCGAGGTCTTTTGTATTTCCATATGAATTTTAGGATTTTTTTCTAGTTCTGTGAAGATTGTCATTGGCATTTTGATGGGTGTTGCATTGAGTTGTTAGATCACTTTTGGTAATATGGCCATTTTGACAGTATTAATTCTGCCAACCCATGAACATAGAAAGTCTTTCCATCTTTGAGTGTCTTGTTTAATTTAGTGTTTTGAAGTTTTCATTGTAGAGGTCTTTCACCCTCTTGGTTAGATTGATCCCTAGGTAATTTATTTTATTTGAAGCTATTGTGAATAGAATTGTTTTCCTGGTTTCTTTCTAAGCTAGTCCATTTTTTGTGTACAGTAAAGCTATTGATTTTTTTAATGTTGACTTTATATCCTGTAACATTGCTGAGTTCATTTATCACCTCTAAAAGTCTTTCTGTGGAATGTTTAGGGTCTTGTAAGTATAGAATCATATCATCTGAAAACAGGATAATTTGACTTTTTTCCTATTTGTATCTCTTTTATTTTTACTCTTGCCTAATTACTGTAGTTGAAATTTCAAGAACTATTTTGAATATGACTAATAAGAATGGATATCCTTGTCTTGTTCCTGATGAGATTGTTTTTCTAAATTTTCTTTGAGAAAAGGTTTTAAATGGTAAAATATTCCTTCTAGATTGATATATTACAGTTATTATTAGAATACAATCTATCAAAACCACAAGAATGCATTACAAATTTTTATAAGCACTTATCAAACATAAAGAATACAATTTCATTGGAAATGCATGCTTTTATGAACTACATGGGACTATTCATTTACGCACGTATAAATATTATTGCTAAATATAAGCAAGGTTTAGTATAAATTATTTCTGCTTTACATTTTTATAGATGTAAATGCTGTGAAAACTTGACATAAATTATAAATGGGAATAGAAATTTCTTTATTACAGCACTGTCAATCAAGTCTATGAATACCTTCCAAGTAATATGCCAAAATTATATAGTGATTTATTATAAAAATATTTTTCATCTCTTGTTGATGTTAACTTAAGTCTTTCTTCAGTGTTATTGAAAGCAGAGTTGGAAATGTCTTACTTTAAAAAAGATTTCTTAAAACGGTCATTAGGAGTAATTTACTTTCTTAATTCTTGGAATAAAACCAGAAACACCTTTACTAAAGTTTATCAGATAGTTATTAGGCCTGTTATGCTTTAGTCGGGAACTGTGGGGAAATAAAAATGTTAATTGAAATATACAATATAATCCCTTTTTGAGGAAATTATTTTATTATAGATATACTATAAATATATTTTCATCGACTCATTAAAATGCACATTTGGTTCATCCAAATTTTGGAAAACATCTTTATAACCCAGTTAGCAAAACCAACCCTCATTGTGAAAAGAATCAGCCATAATGTAACCTAATATTAAGTATAATTAATATGCACTAATATGAAAAAAACCTAGTCATACTTAAAGTCCCCCTCCTGAAATGTGTTATTTTATTTATTCAAAGAAGCATAAAAATCTTCACACTTCTGAATTTTTTTCTTAAGGTGGACAGCTCAGATTTGAAACTTTGGTCAAGAGTTTGTAGCATTAATGACATAATAGCCCTGCTCCTGGGTTTTTGTTGCTTTTCTCTCAAGGAACTCTTAGGCACTCTTTGACAATAGTTAGGGGATAAAAAGCACAAGAACATTAAATAAAACTTGTCACCTGTCCTGCTACCCCATACTGTAATAAGGTATATCTGAATACTAAACATGCTGGTATGGACCAAGATACGCTGTTGCTGCTTATGCCATGCTGTGCCCTTACAAGAATATGTGTGAGACGAGGAGTTTTGGGGTTTTTTGCCTTGATTAAAGGAAGCCCTGGACCCGTGTGTGTGTGTGTGTGTTAACTGTTGTTTTGGTTCCTTAGAGGTTCTTAGGCTTTGGGAAGATGCACTATTGCAGTTGGATGAAGGATAAGTCTTTCTTCTGTATAGTGGGGGAAAATTATGAGTGGAAGGGGAAAGAAATAACCTGAAGCCTCTGTACAGTTGCATTCTCAAGGAGATGAGTTTTTGGAAAGAACGTGTGAAAACGTGAATTTGGAAGATGATTCCTTTAAAAGGGGTATGGCCACCTAGTCCTTGGGAAGTCTTTTTATACTCCCAATAGTGTGCATACACAAGTTTGAAGATACTTTTCTTACAGTACTTCTTATTGTATACAATAATATGCTGACACAGAGCTACTAATACTTTTAGAGTTAGACTTTGTTTTGTGGTGCTGGGATTGAGCTGAGGGCCTCACACATGCTAGGTAAACATTCTACCCCTGTGTTACACCTTAGACCAAGAGTAAACTTTTTAGAGTTGGTACTGATAGTAATTAACATAGAAAGGCAAAGACTAAAGCTGCAAAAATATTGAACTAGTAAATATATAAAAACAGAAATATCAGTTTATTTTCGTTGATGTATTTTTCCTTTTGTTTAATTCAAATTTAAAAATTGTGTTTCTTACCAAATAGTTGTACATTTCTAATTAGAAACTCTTAGAACACATGAAATTTTCACTGCAGTAATAAAGTTCCTTAAATATAAATTAGAATAATTATAATTGTCATTCCTGCCTTGCTAAAATTTCACTTGAATAATTTTCACATTTTCAAACTAGATTTTCTATATTATACCTTACTGTTTACTGTATTATACTTGCTACAGTATTGCACCTTATTTTGAAAAGTATTTTAAATAATAAAGCTATAATAGAATTTTTGATAATGGAAAAGGGCTAGAATTTTGGTTGTAGTTTTAAATCATTCTGAATTTACAAACTTGGAAAGGGGTATATCAAAGTAATTAATACCCACAGATTACCATTGGTAGGTGATGTGTATTTAGTAGACAGAATGATTTTTTGAAGAGATTAAACTTGCAAAGTATAACTAATATAAAATCTTACAGTTTGCCAAAGTAAAGTCTTATTTTTATTGTTGACAGAAAACACTTCCAAGGGAAGATTGAAACAGGAGCAGTACCAAGAATTTCAGTTGCCTGCGGAAACCATGTTGTCCCAAGAAACTCTACCACCACTTGAGGGGAATGCTTGGAAATCAACCGATGTAAGTCCCTGCTGTATAGCCTTTCTTTGCTGGTCACACATTGCCAAAAATTTTGTGCCTTGAGACATCAGCTTGTTATCTTACACTTCTGTAGGTTAGAATTCTGACCCCGCCCCACTGGTTTAAAATCAGCCTCTGCCCAGCTCCACCCTTCCTCGGAGCAGCTGTTTCCTTGTGTTTCCCAGCTTCATGTGTTCTAAGAGAAACTGCACTTATCTTTTTACTCTGTTTTTGGTGTTTTCTGTTATATAGGCCTTTAAATATGATTAAGGTCAAATTATCAATTTTCTTTTAGGATTTGTTCTTTAAAATTTTTTAAAGACATTTTATCCCAATGTAATAAAATTTTCTGATTTTTTCTAAGTGTTGAGGTCCTGTGTCTTCTAATACTTTGTGGTATAAGATCGAGTTGTTTCATTTGTGCCCTGGGAATAGGCAATATTTAAGTTACTGAGTAACCCATCTTTCTCTACTCACTTAAACAACTTTATTTTGAAATCCTTGTAGAATCACAGGAAGTTGTAAAAATAGTAGAGCCCTGTGTAATCTTCACCTAGCTTCCCCCCATGTTGACATCCTATATATAGCTTTCGTGTTAAAACCAGAAAACACGTTGGTATGTCAGTACTAATTCAACTGCAGACCTTGTTCAATGTTCAGTTTTTCAATTCAGTAATTAGGGTTTTTTTTTAACCTGCATCTGTGTGTTTGTGTATGTGGCTCTGTGCAGTTTTATCACTTACACATTTGTGAACCAGCTTACTTAGGATAGGGAATTGTTCCATCTCCACATTTTTGACCATCTGTCCTACAGATATGAAAACTTCACATACAAAATCCTGTAGCATCCTTAATGCTACTCGCTTGGACCTCACCTATAATGTCATCCTCTGGCGATAACTATCCTTTCTCCACCTCTAGTATTTTATCAGAGACCCCCACGATGGGTTTCTGTCTCCTGTTCAGTGCTAAGATGCAAGGTTAAAAGAAAAACTCAAAGACAGTATTAAAGAGACAGAGAAATGGGCAACCAGCAAAGACCCTGGGCAGCCCAAGCCACTACTACTATTTCTTGATGACATCATGGTCACATGGGGATAAAGAGGCTATGTGAGGGGACATGCAGATGCTATGGACATGTTACTAATGCAGGCAAGACTTATAAAGGAAATGTCAAAGCATTCTTGAATTAGGATCAGACAGATAAAATATAGGGTCGTAGTTAGCCAATAACCTTGTCTTTCTAGTTAAGAAGGTTTTAATTGTAGGAATGGAATAGTAGGACTAGCTTCTCAAAACAAGCCAATCATGGGGTTAACTCTTTACAGCCTGCACTGTGCCCGCAGCCTGGTTTGGGCATAAACATTAAGGTGGTCTTCTACAATATTTTGGTGGTTGTTGTTTCTAGGGTGTTACACAAATGGAATCAGACCGTCTATACCTTTTGAGATTGTATTTTTCTCAGTGTAAAGCTCTTGAGGCACATTCAGGTTGTTGTACTTAGCAGTAATTTTTTATTGTAGAGCAGCGCCACATTAAAAAGATGTGCTAGAGTTTGTTCAACCATTTTCCTGATGAAGAATATTTGGGTATTTCTGACTTTTGGCTACTTTTGAATAAAGCAACTATCAATATTCATGTACAGGCTTTTGTATGTGAAGTGTTCATAACTGTAGGATAGATGTCCAAAAATGTGATCATTGGGTTATCTGCTAAATTTTGTAAGAAACTCTCCAACTGATTTCCACAGTGGCTATCTGTACCCTTTCATTTCCCACCACCAATGCATGAGAGATCCTGGTTCTCTGCATCCACACCAACTTTTGGTATAGTGTATTACTCCTATTTTCATTTAAGTAGTTATAATAGGTTTGTAGTGATATCTCGCTGTGGTTTTAATTTGCATTTCCCAAATGACTAGTGAAATTGAACATCTTTTCATGTGCTTATTTGGGCCATTATAGATTGTCTTCGATGCTATACTTGTTAATAACTTTTGCCCATTTTCTAGTTGCATTGTTTGATTTTTACCATTGAATTTTGTGAGTTCTTCATATATTCTGGACCTAAGTCCTCTTTATTAGATTGTGATCTGCATGTTTTCTTTCTGTCTGTGGCTTATCTTTTTAAGACAATATTTTTCATTTTAAACGTTTTAAATTTTGAGGAAGTCTAATACTGCCAATTTTTTTCTTTTAGGAATCATGCTTATGCTTCATTTGCAGAGCTTGTGTCCTCTCATCTTCCTCAGTGTAATAGTTTCAGAGGCCATGACCACAGGCCATGATTGATGATTGGGTATTTTGGCTTCTTTTATAAACAAGGGATCATGAAGCATGATTTCAAGTAGTGGGTCCCTATTCAGAACTCATGTTTTTGTTTTTGTTTTTGTTTTTTGTATGGGTATCAAACTCTGGTCCTTGCGCTTGTGAGGCAGGCCCTGGAACCACTGAGCTAAATCCCCCGCCAGAACTCATGTTTTGATGAATACTTTTCATCTGTGTTTACCCCTCCAGAGTTGAGCTTCTTGTTTTCTCCATCTTTCTAAGAAGCCAGAATTCCAAAGGTTCACAAGTTTATCATGTGTTTCTGTTCATGTTTTCATCCATGAAGATCTTAGTCTTGATTTTCGGCATTACTGCATCTTTTTAATTTTCACATTTATATTTTCTCTTTCATTCCTTTTGGAGAAGGGAGATATCCTCAAAGCATGAACTTTAGAACCCTCTTAACTAGAAATCTGTTCTGCCCAGAATGAGAACATATGAAATTCTCATTCATTTGTACGTGTGTGTATGTGTATATGTTTTGTGTGTGTGTGTGTGTGTGTGTGTAACTATGTATTTCTCCCACTAGAAGGAAATCTCCTTGAGAGAATTTTTTAGTCTTATTCCATACTGAGTATTCAGCTGATAAATTTTTGTTAATGAAGAAGTGAATAACTAACAGACACTACATACATGCTACCTTTTCTTCTTTTCCTCCTTTTGTCTCCTGCTCAGAATGCTTTTTTAGTGTTTCCTGCCTTTACCCTGTGGGGGAGATTGGAATTTCTTTCTTGGCTTTCTTTCCCAACCCAACTGGATTCAGCTGTTTTTATATCAACTCAGAAAGGTACATAAACTTGAAATTTCACTGTTTCTTGTGAAATTGCTCACAGATTGAAAATGTATCAACTGTTTAAAAAGTTAAGGCATTAAAGTCAAAAGTATTTTTAAATTTGACACTAGTCTATTTGCTGCTGGTGACCATTAGGTAGAAAGTAGACTTGAATAATCCTGTTTATTTGGGGGCCAAAGATATAAAATGCCACCTAGATTTTTGTATCAGTCTTTAAATCTTGATCATGCCACATGTTGTATTAGCTAGAAAAAAAATGGTACCTTTCTCCCAAAACAAGTTTAGAAACTGGATTTTCATTTTTCAAAGTATGGCTATATCAACAATATTCCATCATCCGGTTGACAAGCATCTCTTATTGTCAGGAACATTTGACACAGTCTAATATGTCCTCTCCAATAGGCTGCTGCTGTAGCAGAAGACAAAATCGAACAAGTCGAACAGTAAAGCTAATTGTTATTGCAATACACTGCATGAGAGGTACCATATCCATATTAATTTTCTCAATTTCCTAATACAGAACAAGAAAGAAATGATACTGAAAATTGCTTAGGCAGAATCCTCATTACTTAAACATTTCTTTCACAAAATTGAGATAGAAATCTTTTTAACTATTCTCCTCTTACAAATAAAAGAAAAATGACCTTAAAAGCAGTAAATAAAATTTTTAGTAGGATAGAGCTTTCAGAAAGCAGAACAGTGATGTTTTCAAAACTAAGTAAAGGTTTTACATTTATGACAGACATGTGTGTTTACTCTGCATACTGTCCATAATTTTTATTATTACATTTGCTGATTATTAAGGCTCTTTGTAGCTTCTCACTACCTCACAAGACATTCTTCGGTTTGAAGAGACTGAACAATGAGGTGGTGATTTTTTCCGGTCACAGTCGTTTCCATAGCAACAGATAGGGATGCTGAGAAGTGGTTCACACAAAATTAAAGCTGACCAGAATCTTCTGTCTAGTGCTGAGTTGCTAAATTGATAGCAATAGATGAGAAATGTTTATTTCCTACAGATTCTACTTAGTACTTTTTTTTTTTTGTTACTGGAGATCGAACTCGGGCCCTTGTGCTTGCAAGGCAGGTGGCAGAACCACTGAGCTACATCCCTGACCTTCTACTTAATATTTTGGTAAATGAACAATATATTTTTTTATCCTTGGGTCTATTTCCATATTGTTTATTATATTGGCAAAAATTTGAACTCATCAAAGTTAGAAAAGGAGAAATTATACTGATTCTTAAGTTAGTTTATCATTTCTCTATCTCTATCATTGTTTTATGCCTTAAAGTCCTCTTATTTTCGTGTTTTTGCTTATTATTACTCTTTTTAATAGCTCTAGGGACTTTTTCTTCTTTCTTTCCCAGTCTTTCTCCTTCCTCCCTCTCTACCTCAGCCTTATTATTTTTAAATTAGGGAATGTTTAGTATAAAAGCTCCAAACAGTATAAATGGTAAAGAATGAAGAGCTAAGTTTCTTCTTACTCTATACTCCTTGAGTTCCTCTCTGAAAGTGACTATTAATAGCAATGTTTTATGAACTTTTGGGAAAATTTTCTGTCTACATTTATTTTATCCAAATGGAATCATTTACTATACATTGCTCTACAGCAATGCTTACAGTGAACAAAATTCATTTATGAAAAAGCTCAGCAAACTGGAAATCAGAAAATGGGCAAATGATATGAAGAGTCGTTTCAGGAAATACATATGGTAAATAAGAACATGAAAAGAGGTTCAACATCACTAACCTTTTAGAAAATAATTTAAACACACAATGAAATATCAAAATGGCTAAAATAAAAAACAGTGATAACACCAAATACTGATGAGGATGTGGAGAAATTGATCCCTTTTCTTTGCTGAGTAGTATTCATGCCATAGATGTTTGATTCATTAAAGAACATCTGTGTTGTGGGTACATGCAGCAAGTAATCTCTAGGAACCATGTCAGGTGAAACATCTGTGTTGGGTACATGCAGCAAGTAATCTCTAGGAACCATGTCAGGTGAAAAAGGCAACCCTAAAAGTTAACAGACTTATGATTCTGTTTATATAATATTTTAAAATGTTAAAATTCAGAAAGGAAGAACATCAGTAAAAACATATTAGTAGACACAGTGGGCTAGGGTGTGGCTCTAAAAGAAGGAAGGATCTTCCTGATGGTGACAGAAAAGTTCTATATGATGACTGTATCAACATCAGTATCCCAAATATGATTTTTAAAAAATTCTTTCTTTCTCTTGTTTTCTGTCAGGACCTGATTCTATTTTCCGATGAGGACCCAAAGCCATCCTTGCCAGTGGCACCTCCTTCTGTTACCTCTCCGACTACATGCTCGTCAGATGGCAAAGTAGAAGCATCCAACCTCGGTGATGCAGGTAATTTGGCCAATGGATGTGAAGTTGATCCAGAAACATGAATATGCACTAGACAGGAATTCTGTACAAATAAAGACTTTATTTTGTGAAATATAGCAACAGTTGACTTTTATGGTCATGATGAATAAAGAGTAGTGTGGATAAATTCAGCCCTCCCATGGTCCTATATTCTTATAGTCCCGTTTTCTGTTTTCCTTTTTTTTTTTTTTTTTTTTTTTTTTTTTTTTTTTTTTTTTTTTATTGTTGTTGTTGTTATTTTGTTTCTGAAGTAATTACAACTCTTAATTTTTTTTTTGGATTTTTAGGACGGGGTCTCACTATGTAGTTGAGACTGAGCTGGAACTCACTGTGTAGCCCAAATTGATCTTGAACCCACAGCAGTCCTCCTGCCTCAGCCTCCTGAGTGTTGGGATTACAGGCATGGCTACCACGCCCAATTTAGAACTCTTAAATTTTTTATAAAAGGTTAAAATGGAAAATTTATTTCACTTTCTTTTTTTTATTAACTTCTTTTCAATACTTCTTTCAAAAGCACTCATTAAGCAAACATGTAAAAAGGCAAGAAGCACACTGTCTGTCCCACAAATGTATGAAACATTTCTTAAATAATTAACAGTAGCACAGTATCAATTTATACGTTGGCCTCCAATAAATTACATTAGTGAACCGGGCTCTACTACTTATCAAGATCCTTTATGATATGATTCCTAGTTGGGTCAGTCTATCCTGTCCTTATTGTCCTAGAAATCTGAATACACAATGCATTCTCTTGATTTTCTCAGAAAGTAGGGTGAAAGGTCTTATACTAAGATGAGAAGGAGATGTTCTCATTAGTATCATTCATCCCCTCCTGTGTCTTTGTTTTTACATCCAGGCATCCTTTCCCTTGTCATGGAGATGGTTTCTCATGTTCTGAGTTTCATCTCCCTCATACACCTGGACCTCAGAATTACCCCTCTATACAGTCACAATATTCAAAATATAAAAGCTACAGTGTATTAGTATAGAATTTAAGTTCACATATAATTTTTTATAAAGCCAGTTGTGAGAACAGTGAGGATATTTTAATAAAGACAAAAACAAGAAATTGGGGGTTTTGGTGATATATGTATAAGGATAGCATTCATATGGATGGTAACAAATGGTTAGAATTTTTAAACAGTTTTCTTGGTAGTCTTATAAAGCACTTCAAATAAACAGATCCCAAATCCAGAAGCTTAAAAGCATAGAACGGAAAACTTTTGTATTTAACATTGCATAACATTTTTGCCTCCTAACATTTTTAAAAATAGACTTTCTTTTTGAGAGCAGTTTTAGATTCACAGCAAAATTGAATGGAAAGTACAGAGTTCCCATATGCCCATATCCCCACACATACGTAGCATCTCCACCATCAGTATTCTGCCCAGAGTGGTACATTTGTTACAATTAATGGATTTATACTGACACGTGATTTTCACTCTAAGTCCCTAGTTTATATTACAGTTCATTCTTGGGGTTGTACATTATCTGAACTTGAACAAACAACATGCATCCTCTATTAAAGTGTTATACAGAATAGTTTCACTGACCTAAAAATCCCTTCCTCCCAAAGTCTCTCCTTTCCAGTATATTATAGAGGTGTAATTATACATATGTAGGCTTTCAGATTGGTTTCCTCCATGTCTTTTCATGGCTTGATAACTCATTTAGTGCAGAATAGGATGCTGTACCACGGTTTATTCACTCATCTACTGCAGGGCAGCTCAGTTGCTTCCAAGTTTGGGCGTTTATGAATAAAGCTACTTATAAACATCCGAGGCAGGTTTTGTATGAATATAAGTTGTCTCCTCAACATTTTAAAACAAGTGAAATTGAATACAGATGAGCTTCAGAGGCAACCCAAAAGAGAGAAAAAAAAGGCACAGAATATGTTGCCTGAGGGATGCTTCCCATTTTGCCTGGCTAGAATCCATCTTAATCAGAGGGAGTTTTCTCCAATCTCTCCTTGACACTGGTCTCAGAGAGATCTTGCTAAAATGCAGATTTCTGCATCTTTCCATCTTACACACTTTCAACAGCTCTCTATTGCCAATAGGATGACTTTAATTTTTTCATACTGTCACAGTAATGTTCATGGTCTGATCCTAGCCAGTCTTTCTGGCCTCATCACCCAAAACTTCCAGTACTCACAATGCTCTGTGATGCTCCACTATTTACGTAGCTTCTTCTCTTTGCAATGTCTTTGTTCCAGTTATTCTTGGCTGTGTAACATATTGCCTTGGAAGTTTGTTGAGTCGAATAATCATTTATTGTATTCATGGATTCTCTGGGTCAGGAATTAGGACAGAGCACAGTGGGGTTGACTTGTCTTTCAGCTGGGAACTCAGGCAGGGGCAGGAATTATCTGAAGGCCTGTCCACTCAGTGGACACTGGTAGTTGACTGGGGACCTCGGTGCCTCTCCACAGGGCTGGTTTGGTTTCCTCACAGCATGGTGGCTAGGTTTCTAGGGTGAGCATTTCAGGGAAGCAAGGACCCCGTGGAAGCTGAATAATCTTGGAAGTCATGCTGTGGTGACCCTTCCACTACACTGTGTTCCCCAGACGATAAAAAGTCTGCCCAGGTGTGGGGGAGAGGAGATACAGACCTCCATCTCGCCAAGGAGGATTGTCAGTGTCATATTGGATGAAAGCTGTGTTGCATAGGAGGTATGTTGATAGTCATCTTTGGAAAATAGATTCTTCCACCAAATATTAAATGCTTTACAAAATCCCATTCAAACTGTATTTACCACTATAAAATCTTTCTAGACACTTATTTCTCTTTTTACTATTTTCCCGCGGGATTTTTCTCATACCTTTATTACAGAATTTATAAATGTGTATCATAAGTTTATAAGTTGTACTTATGTTATAATTATATATAATTATATGGTTATATAATTATATAAATCAACTATGTGAACATACTCTTGCTTTAACTGAGTTATTTAATCGGTATGAGTTTAACCACTTCAGTTTACCCCAAACGTCACTTGGGCGGCAGGTCTGTTCACGTGCTGATTATCCCTAGCATCGCTTGGACAAGTGTCATTCACCCAGTTGGCTCCTGAATTGAATACATTTGATAAAATTGATGTTTTCATATTTCCTATTACCTTATGAAAATTACCAAAAAATATCCAGTTTTTGGTCATCCCATATTTAAATAATTAGACTAATACGTAAAGTACTGGTAAGTGGTTTTAGATGGGGCAGTCAGTAGCCAGTTATCTCACAACCCTTACTGACTAGTTGATTTTCTCTGTTGTCCTGAAATGACTTTTTAAACTGTTTCTTTCTTTTTTTTTTTTTTTTTTTTTTTTTTTTTTTTTCGTACCAGGGATTGAACTCAGGACCTTGCACTTTCAAGGCAGGTGTGGTGCCACTGAGCTAAATCCCCCACCCTTTAAACTGTATCTTTAAAAGTATCTAAAGTATCTATTTAACTCTATTCTGTTCATTGATTGATTTTTCTGTTCCTAGTCTAATTTTTTGCAACTATTGTAATAGGATATCACCATATTGTTTTCTATTTTATTTTCTTTGTATTGTTAATTATCATTTAATTACATATTTCCATATTTTTCCTGTTACAGAAACAACAATGAAGTGACATCATTTTCCCCTTCTCAAAGAAAGTAGGCTTTTATTTATGTTCTTTTATGATTTGATGCAGATTCTAAAATACATTATTCTGAATTTCTGTTGATAAATTCTGTCCAGTTCACTAACTTATCCTGTCAACAGATGGTTCTGATTTCCATTTTCTGATTTTGGCAACTTCAGCCCAAGACAAAAATAAAGTAAGAAAGTTATTCTGGTACAGGATTTTCAGTTCTTTTCCCTCTTGTCTTTGTCTTTCTGCAGTGTGCAGCGTCTTCTGGTCGCACTGCGGCCTATCGTAGGTGGGACCTTACTCCTCACATACTCGTCAGCTTCACTGAGTCCACCCTTGCCTTCACCCAGAAGCCATTTGAATTTTGTGCTCTTCCTTCTTTGCTTTTCTTTATAGTTTTTTACATATATTTTGGGCTCTAAATAATGTATTTGTTTCATAGGCTCTTGAACTTTGTACAAAGTCATTCTGGATTTTTCTGACCCCCTTTTATTGATCAGTAAGGTGCACTTATGTATGGTTGTCATTTGTTTTCCCTACTGCATAGTGTCTCATTGCATGTATATATTCATGTGCCATATTGTAGAAAACTGGCACCAGGACAGTGTGTCAGGTTTTTTATGTCGCAAAATGGTGTTGCTGATGAACTTTACTATACAAGACTACTTTTTATACTGCGCATGGCACCACTGAGCTAAGTCCCCATCCTACGAGAGAGCCCCCAGTTCTCTACGATGTATACTTGGGAGTGATATTACTACGTAGTTAGATATGAGCAACTTTAAATTGGCCAGGATTGTTTTCCAAAGTTTTAGTTGGCCCATGTCCTCATTAACCCTGTTCTTGCCTTTTTGAAAAGTTGCCAGTCTGGTGGATGAAAATTGGTATCTTATTTGTTGAAATAAAATTAAGCATATTTTCATATGTTGAAACATTTCATAGGTATGACTGATTCATGTCTCCTCATCTGTGAAATGTCTGCATGCCTTTTGGCTATTTTTTTCTCTTTGATTGTCTTTTTCTTAATTGATTTGTAGGAGTTTTTATTCTGGGGGCTAAGCGATCCATCTTGTAAGTTTTTTCCACTTTATAACTGGTCTTTTCACTTCATATGGACTTTTTAAATAACAGAAGTTCTGAATTTTAATGAGGTTGAATTTATTCTTTATGGTTTGTACTTATTTTTTAAATTTCTCCTTGTGCTGAGATCTTGAAAATAATTCTCTGTCGGATAAAAGTTTTATACTTTTGCTTCCACAATTAAATCTTTAATAAAGAATTGATTTTGTCGAATGATTGAGGTAGAAGTCAAATTTTTCTTCTATATGGGTGGCCAGCTGTCCCAGCATCATTTAATGAAAA